TGAAGAAAAATTTTAATGATGATGTATTTAGAACAGTTTTTCAGCATGAATAAGTATTAAGTTGGCAATTATCTTACTTATTATAAAACGCAGATTGTGTGTGTGTGTGTGTGTCTGTACGTTTATATATTGGATCGGATTCCCCACATTTTTCAACCGATTTCAACAAAACTTCACAGGACTACATAAGATTACCTTGTGGTGGTTCTAACAGCGCCAAAAATGGGAAAAAATACAATTGTTTTTGCACAAAATCAATTTGAAAACACGATTAAGAGACATTGTGAGAATGAAAGGGGGGACAACTCACATCGGGTTAAAAACCCAGGTTGTTTGTGTGTGTGTGCGTGTGTGTGTGTGTGTGTGTGTGTGTTCCTTAATTATTTGGGATCGAATTTCCTACATTTTTCAGCCGATAAAACAAAAATTCACTTTTTTTTTTGGCAGGTAGTGTTTCTTATTGTCTTTCACACTTTTTTCTTTATTTTTACATTCAGAATGCTTTAAAAATTCCATTTACAAGACAATTATTTATAATAAAATTCTATTCAATCGGTAGAGACTCATAATGATTGAAAACAATGTTTTTGTTTGAGTTTGGGTTTGACCAATTCGTAAAAAAAAATAAAAAAAAATAAAAATAATTAAGACATGCGTGTCCGTCAACCTTAAACAATAATCTTGGTCAATTTTATTTTTCAGTCTTTATGATGGTGGATACTTGATCTATCTCTTACTGTTATATCCCCAGGCAATGCCGGGCTCTACTGCTAGTAGTTTCTAAAATTCAACACTGACTACATTATTTTCAGTAGAAAACAATTAGCTTAAGGTATATATTTCAACAATAGTGTTTGCATTTTCATTTTTGTAAGGAAATGTTGGATCTAATTGTTGCTGAAATGACTAAATTTATGTCAAAATTTTACATTATTTTCATAAACCAGTTTGAGTGAATTATTGTGGGTAGTTTCCTGTTATTTCATGAATTCCTTTAGAATAAAACATGTGACTAAAGTTGTGTCTTTCATAAATAAGTACTTGCTATTGTTTATGTGGTTGTGTGCTGGCCACAAAGTGCAAAAGTATAACAGCTTTCTTTTGGACAAGGTTTCTAATCTTTTCAAAATTGATTTCATAATTTTTTGTATTAAACAAAAACATCATCACATAATGCTAGACAATTCTTCTCAACAGAAACATTTATAACATATTTGTAAATCTACCATTTGTTAATGCATTGAATATTGCTATCACATCTGGTCTGGTGCTTCATGCATTTAGAGATTCTTGTTAAATGATTAGCTTTCCTCTTTGGTACTTTAGACTTTATAAATTTAAGCACAGTACTAGATTGTCTGTTAGTTCTCATCATTTTATAGTTGAAATATCTAAACATAACTAAGTTCTATGCTAACAGTTTCTTCTCTCACACTTGTGAAACACTCTTCTGGCTTCTTGTTTTCTAGTCAAGATTGATCTTCAAAAATTGAAATGCAATGTCAATCATCTTGTATCTTCTTAATTCTTGTTCTTTTATTGTTCTCTCTCCTTAATAAGGTTTTCCTTTTTATCATATTCTTTCACAATAAGTCCTTGTGTCTTAGTGGCTTTATTGCCTTTCTTGGGGTGAAATGATTAAAAAAAATGTTTAATTTACTGAAATCAATAAATTATTTGCTCATGTAAAAAAGCTTTCCTTTGATATCAAATAATCATAATATTTAAATAAATGAAGAATTTAAATAATTTGAAAAGTCAAGTCATGTCAACATTAAAATATGAATAACTAACCCAGAATAAACATTTGGGCTTATTCAAATTGATATTTTAGAAATTTATAGAATCAAATTTCAAAGTGAGGTTTACTTACTAAACAGTCAATAACTGTAGTATTACATATGAATAGTAAAATAAATAATGTTTACATCAAATCTTTAATTTTGTAATTTAGTATTCAGCTGTATGGGGATTGGAAATAAAATGAAGATTTTCAAAATTATTTTGAATTTTTATCAAGCAATATCATAAAGTTAATTTGTGCAAAATAAATAACTTTTAAGCATTGTCAAATGTCCAGTTAATATTGTTTTCTAATACATATTCTATTCTCATGTGTTGAAATTATCATTAGGTAAAATACTGACTTGTCACAAAGTATTGACTATCCCTAAACCTAAATCTTTAAAATATTTTAAAAATTTTCTTTAAAATATCCTTAATGTAATTTTTGCCTTAATAATGATCCTTATTCATGTATACTTTTGAGTAGCAATAAAATTACTTAACAACTTGTGATGCATTTTCACTATTTTGACTTGATATATTTAAAACTAAAATAATTTATAATCATAATTTAATATACTTGGTTTAGTTAAAAATTTTGTAGAGCACCCCTGAAAAAATTTCTAAGGATTCATAGCATCTAAATTATTTGGAACAAAGGTAAAACTAATTTATTTGCATAGAAAATTTCAGCTTCATATTTTTGTAAGTGTAATAAAGCATCAAAATCAGCAAAACCATAATTTTGGCATGTCAAGTTGTTCTAGAAAAATGTTTTAACCCTAGACAGAAGTTTGTTCCCAAAATGAGACTTTTGTCACATCATACTTTTATGTGTCTGGAACATGTAAGATTATGGTAAAAATACAAACATTTTATAATTATCTAACTAGTCTGCTGATGTTATGAAAATAGGCAATTTTAAGGATGTTGAGAAAAATTTTTTTCAAACAGTAATACTGACATTCCAGTAACAGGAATAATATGGTTACTGCATAGAAATAATTTATAAGGTCATAAATGGCAGGAAAACTAATTTGGATGCTGTAGCTTAATGTTGACAGCTTTTTATGCATTTTTTTTTTATTTCAGCCATTTTCAGGTTCTAAAATAATAAAAGTACATAAGACATGGCTAAACTGTTCACATTTTCCATTCATTAAAATAATGAAATATGCTTTTAATAACAATTTGCTACATTATACATTTAGAGTCTAAATAGGACAATTATTTATCTCCAGATATACAAAAGAAAAACTTCAAAAAATAATTCATGGAATATAACTTTCTTCATTGGTATTTTCATTTTAAATATTTTCCAATGACTATTTTTCTTTTAGACTTATTTTTATCTATTATGTTTATTTAGACAATGCCATATTTGACATATGCTAATTTTATATTATTTACATTATTCGGACTATTGTCCTCATCTTTGTCACCATATTTATCACAATGTTTCAGCCGTTGTACACTCCGGCCTTCTTCAGGTGGTTGGAATGTTGAACTGAACCCTTTATTTCACTCACTGGGGTAGTCTGTTCTAGTTTCACGTGCCATGTCTAATGAATATCAGTGGATAAATGCGTTGGTTAGATCCACTGACAGAACCCAAAGAGTGTGAGTTCAATACCCGGTTAAGGCAGTGGAGAACTTCAGAGGGAAAATTAACAGGAGATAACTGATAACTGACATCCATTAAACATGGCACGTGGAACTAGAACAGTCTACCCCAGTGAGCGAAATAAAGGGTTCAGTTCGACATTCCAACCACCTGAAGAAGGCCAGAGTGTTGTGATAAATATGGCGACAAAGATGAGGACAATAGTTATTAAAAAATTCATAAAACAACTTAGTTATTGATTTTTTTATCAATATTCACTTGTTATTTGATTGTAACTCCTAGATTGTCAGTCATTGATTGTAAGTAAATAGTGGGAATCAGAAAGAACATGCCTTCAGCAAGACTTGAATTTTTACATCTTTGTGAGATTGTCATTCAATGACAATGCACCTTGTCAGTTAACGTATAATGCAAAAACAGCATTGTATTGGCATTCAGAGAAATAAGAAGCTATATATATCAAACATGAAAATAAGAAATGAGAAGCTATATATAAATTTAGCCATATATAGCTAAATTTAAATGAATTCTACCAGTTTGCCTTCATGGATAAAGCATTGTCAATTATTTTTTTGTTTTTTTTATTTATTTATGATTTGCACTTCTTACTTAACAATTGCAGAATGATCTAAGAGTAATAATAAAGAAATAAGATGAAAAAAATATAAGTAAAATGAAAAAAAAATATGATTTACAATGCTTCAGGAGTAGATAGATTTGCCTAATGTCCAGTTCACACTCCTCCCAGGTTTTTTAAACAGGAGTAGGGGTTTATCTCTTGTTTCTTGTTTAGGATTAGGTTTCCAGTTCCTTCTAAAGTCTACTTTAGCTCTATACACCTAACGCATGTCCTTTCATATGCTAATATAACTCTACACAATAACCATCTATGTTGAGCGGCTCTTGGGCCTTGAAATTGAAAAACATGTAATCTTGATTTAAATATTTTAACATACTAAATGTAGCTGTAACAATTTATAAACAATAAAACTATATAAAAAGAATAAAAAATAAAATTTTATATACCTAACAAATTAATTTATTTTTAATCTGATGTTTTTATTACTTCAAACATTATTTTTAGGGGATACCATGTTTGAAATAAACACTCGTTTTTTGGTTTTTTATTTAAGTTGTGTATATTACATACACTTGATATAACTTAATAAAAAAATGTGCTCACCAACAGGGTTCAAATCTGCATCACCTTTGGTAGGAGAAACCAATGTTTGGTCCAACATGCTTTAGGCTGCTCAGCCACAGAGAGTGCTACAGCCCAGCAAGGTCCTATTTACACTTCTAAGGAATGCACACTCCTTTGTTTAGATTTTCTTGAAAGCCCATGTCTGCTCAATTTCATACCCGAAAGGTAAACAAAGCAATTTCTAAAGAATTAATGGATTTATTTTTAACCCAGTATTTTTATTACTTTCAATATTATTTTTAGTGGATACCTGTGTTTAAAATAGAAGCTCTGCATTTTTATTTTAAATAATATATATATAAATATATATATATATATATATATATACACACACATACATACATACATACATACATACACAAATTAGAAGTGAAAGAATAAGATTACCTGCACCATAGTTATTATATGGCATGGATTAAGTACCCATATCATTTGCCGAGAGGCCAACTTAAATCCAAGTTCAGTGCCAAAGACCAAACAGTGAAGGATAAGTAAAATCCGTTTTGAGGCAGAATTTCGTTCATTCAGTTTGATCAGCTGGTCTGGAATCACAATCTGTTGGTAGCCATTACTGATGAACTTAATAGAGAGTAATGTGGCAACCAGACTCTCTGCAACTCGCTGGAAGACACTTAAAAATTTCACACACTCTTGACCACCATTCCCAGGGATGCTGTAATCCACACCAGCATAAGTCCAATCAAGCATCTTGACAGATTTTTAAAATGTTGAAGTAATAAGTGTCTGGAAGAGTGAAAAAAAATAAATAAATAAAAAACAGATATTAACATTGTTAATATTACAATACTTTTAACTATCAAAATGTTACAGAACAGAAGAATGAATTATGTACATTAATGAAAAGGTATCTTAGTTTCACAGAAATAATTCCTAACAGTGCATATGTGCATATATTCAATTTGAATATATAAGAATAGTGCTATAGTACTTGCCTTATCAAATGATCATAACGTGACAAAAAACTTGATAGGAATCAAATACATTTAATTATTAGTAATAAAAGAAATCTGGTCAAAGAGAAACAATACTAAGAACAAAAGATGATTACTAAAAAGTACAAGAGTCACTCTAAAAGTAATGTCTCCTATTTTATGATGTTGCTGTAAGGCTGAAAGTTGAACCTTTCTGCCAGTAACCCATTTTTCTTTCTGTTTTTTTCACAAATTTAATTTTTGTTTGATTACAAAATAAATTCAGTCAATACAATCATCTTAACCAGAGCTGGTGCGTAGGACCCCTGAATGGGAGGAGGCTGATTAGAGGCCTCAGGTAGTACTTTGTAACCCTCACTATTTTATCAATATTTGCTTTTTTCTACCAACATTTATATAAGTTACAAATTAAACTAAACACAACTGACTATTAAAGGAGGAAAAATTTTTGCAGATTTTGACATCATTCGAGGGGGGTAGGTGAATCTGTGAATTTGTTTTGCTGAGTCTTTGTTATATTCCGTGCTAATAGGAATATATACTTGAAAAACAAGGTGGATAAAATAAGTAAAGGTTTATTGTAAAAAACCATTATAATAAGAATAAAGGTAACAGTTATGCACAAGGTTGTCACAAGTCAATCCAGTAGAGAGTGCTACTATTGGAAGGTTGGTAGTTCTCACATAAATCAACAGATCCCAGCTAATCTCTGTAGTCCATTGACTTACAAATACTTATAGGTAGTTACTGCCTATAGTATAGTTACTCATGGGGGTGACAGGTTATTCCATTACATCAGTCTTGAGAAAAAAAAACAATATAAAATTCACTACTTTTTATCAATAATGTTTACTGTGTTTAAATCCTGCAACTTAACAAGAAAAATTGCCACAAAACAATTTATTTAATATCTATTATGACATGTCTCAAATGTGTATTTAGATACATTATATTTACTTACAATTTTTCTAGTTGAATTGTTCACCGATATTGCATATGATCCATTATTGTACATAATTCAGTTACTATAAAATTTGTCTTTTATATGAATACTACCAGCCCTGATCTTAACAGCAGTCTAAAAACACTGTCAGTACAAGGTAAACATAGTGGGGAGTATGGAGAGGGGGAAGATTTTTTTCTCTTTACATACATACACACACACAATTTATATATATATATATATATATATATATATATATAAAATGATGTGGTATGTGCATAACACTTTTCTACCTTGTTAGAAGTATCCACTACACAGAGGTGTGAATTACCTATCTTTGTGTAGCAGACTCTTCTGATAATGTATATTGATTGATTTGTTTTGTTTTTTTTATGGTTTATCAACCTTTTGCAGGTTATTTAAAACCAGAAAATATTTTTGGATTGTAAGAATTTTTTTTAAAGATAATAATAATTTATGGATACAAATTTTATTAATTAACCCTGAGGGCAGGGTAGAAGAAGTGGATTCACATTTTTCCCCCAAGAATATTTGTATGCAAGTGAATATAACGAACCTTACTGAAATTAGAACTCAGCTCTCCTTTTCCAATTCCAAACCATTACCCATCTAGATAAAGACCAGGCTCAACATTGCTTAAGTTCAATAATCATATAAGAACCAGTGTTTCAATGTGATATGGTCGTAAGCCAATAATGCAGTAGAAATGTTAACTTAAGATATATTGTGTTAAAGAGCTTCTTAAACTGTGATTGGCTATGTAGATGAATAAACTTTTAAAGTAAGATTATACATATTGTAGCAAATGAGTCGACTTGAACAGTGTAAGGGACGCAACTCTTTCCGTCTGAAAATGTCTGCAACGCAAAACGATGTACACCAAGCACGGGTGAAATGTTGGTCTGCCAATGTCTCCAAGCAACCTGCTTTTATGGAGCCCAGACACACCTCATTAGCATGTGTGTAACGCGACTTTGCGTGACTGCACGAGACCGTGAATATTAAAAGTCGCGGACGCCATTTTGAATCTTTTCTTTCCTTTCTCAACCCACAGGCCAGGAAGATGCGAGAACGTTTGCGAGGTAGGCCGTTTCTATTTTTCCCCACACTCCCCCTGATCTCATGATCACAGAGTTGACAGGGGAAGTGGTGATCGCTTCTTGGTACTTGACCCGAAGAGGGCGCTGTGAGCCTCATCGTTGCTTGTGCTCCTGTCTGAGGTCTGAGGTCCGAAAAAGACACCGCGTCCTTGGAAGGCTACTGATATCCAGTCACTGCCTGATGGGGCTGGCGTGAACCAGGCGATGCCTCACTGGTCTCAGATTCGATTCGCTCTCATCGTCCAGCGGTGGTTGCAACCGCGTCGGCGGACGCAGGTCCTTAACGTGACGGGGCACACCGTCGACCCGTACCGCCTGTGGGCTGATCACCTCAGTGACGCGTCCGATTCCGTATTTCGTGGTGCACTTGCTGTGCGGTTTTTAACCCAGACGGCACGCCTTTCTTCAGCCTCTCTCCGGTTACTTTCAGTTCCGTCAGTGGGTTGGTTTCTATGCCCTTCACTCTAACGTGGTACCTATGCAATGTGTCTGCTGGCGCCGTAGAGGGTGAGACATCATCGCCGGGGTCACGTTGTATAAGTAGACCGCCTCAGACACCGCGCAGCCCGTCCTGGCTGCGATGGTCTTGACGGTCCTGTGGTTCCGTTTCGATGATTCCATTTCCACTCGGTGCGTGGGCGCACCGGAACCGTAAAAGTGCACTCCCCAGCCATCCGCAAACTTCCCGAACTGCTCGCTGGTGAATGCGGTGCCATTGTCGGTTAATATCTCCGTTGGGGGGCCACGTTCAAGAAAGATGCTGTTTAACTGACGGATGATAGTGGCTGCATCTTGCCGACGCAGCAGTCGCCATATCGCAAACCTGGATGGACCACAATCAATGAGTGTCAGGAAATGCTCGCCCGTTGTGGTGAGTAACATCTATCGCCAGCCGGCTCCAGTGGTTCCTCACGCTCCAGCTGCCCTTTCTTCCAGCGAACGGGTGCTGGGTCTATAGACTGGCACGCCACGCAGCTTCTGACCACTCTCCTGACGTCTGCCTTTTTGTACCCTGGGTCAACCAACTTGGCGAAATACAGTGTCCGCTTGACTCCAGGGTGCCCACTTTGTTGGTGGACTTCTTTGATTTGATTAAATCGAGCGGGACTCACGGACGCAGCACAGGCTGGTTGCACTGGCTCAATGGCTTTCTTAGCGGCGTCAAGCCACCTTTGCGGCACCCTCGTTAAACAATCTGCTTTGTTGAGGCTAGATTTGACCAGGGACACCTCCATTGTCAGTGCGTACTCTTGCACTAAATTCACGATCGTGTCGAGCCGTCGTCGGATAAGCATCTCGCTGGTGGCTTTAGTCCGCACCCTGGCCCTCCCGGTCAAGGTATCAGAGATCCACTTATAAACGCAAGCGGAATCAGTGAACAGACGCAGGGTGGTCGACTTCCAGAGGACCGCCAAGTTGATCCCCTTGATGACAGCATCGAGCTCCGCTAGGTTTATGTGCTGGGAGTCCCTTTCTGGGCGTAACCAGCAAGCATCTTCTACCACGGCTCCATCGTGAACTATCGATACGCCGGTTGCAAGAGAGCTTGCATCAACCCCACACAGAGGTCTTGGCTGTCAACGCACCATCTGCCCTGGCGCTGGGTCTTCTTTGCGTACTCTAGCGAGGACCTCCTTCATCATGGTGTTGAGAGGGGCGTCGTGAACCCGTCATCCCATCCAGTGGTGACGTCAGATGCTCTCCGCTTGATAAACGCCACCGCAACACGCAGCCAGCCACCTACAGGAAGGTGTCCAACTAACTTGCCGCAAAAGGAAAATATGCTTGGCGGCGTGACAACGGAGGGCATGTCTGGGAGTTTGTTTCCCGTTTCCAATACAGGACGTCATCTTCTCCCCAGACCTGCAAACCAAGCACCCGTGCACCATCCTGTAGTCTCTCCGGTTCCTTGCTGAGGAGGCCAAAGTTGTAGAGATGCTCCTTCACGCGCGCGCAGATATGACTCCCTCGTTCACGTAATCAATATATGCAGATGTTGCCCGCTGTATGCGCTCATCGCCGTTAGAATGGCGTCAACAATCATCTGCATAATCGATGGCGCCACATTGAGTCCAAACCCCATGCGGGTCAGGGCAATACCGTTGCCCCTTGATAACTGCGGTTTGATAGGGCCACAGTGATTGGTGCACGCGCACTTGAAGGTATGCCTTGCGAAGATCCAGCACAGATACATTTGATCCTGCTTGTCGCCATTCCCTTAGCTTCTCGGTACACACGTCCGCGCGGGCAGTAAAAGGGTCCACGTGCTCATTCAGTTCTCGATAGTCGAGCACCGGCCTCACCTTTTGTTGTGCTGGAGAACCGCCATTAGCGGGATCAGGCCCTTTGGGGGCCCCAATTCCTTCTCTGGATAAGGAA